GGGAGTGGAGCTCTCTTTACGGAAAAGTGTTCAAGATGTGGGTACGAGAAAGAGCTTCGCTCGTCGGGCGTCCATGTTTCACAAAATGGTTGCATAAGGGTTTATTCAGAAGACGAGGAGTTAACATGTCTTTGCGTACAGAAAAATGAAGGCAAAGGTATTGATATAAAAGTTCAGACGAGCTAGCCCAGGACAAATAGAAAGTAATTTACCTTCAGTACTCGGTTTGGTTCCGAAAAAAGCTACTACACATTGTTTTTAGATTATAAGGCTTAATTAAAATACTAATAATACTACTAATAATGATGATGATGATTGTGATGATAAAAATGAGAAGGAAAAACATACTAATATTGATAAAAGTAGGGGTGAGGAGCCCACAACAGAGCTAGGCTTCAAATTGTATGTCCCTAATTGCATGAACTTATTATGAATCAATGTTGGATTTCCTATTAACATCTCTAATATCTTTTCAATAGGATTGCCAAACACTGAAAAAGAGGAAGAAAGAAAAGAAGCAGGTGCAGWAATAAAATTCATAATRCATTCTTTATCAAAACTTGGAYTACAAAACACGGACCCCCAGTCCATGGTCTATGCAAATGGATTATCTAATTCAATGACTACTTTTTAAATACCCTGTGCACATGCAATATGTCACAATGAATATCTAGATGTTGTTTTTTTAAGTCATGCCTTTTGAATTTAATCAGTCTAGTCACCTATTAAGATAATTATAAATAAAGCATAAAGTAAGTCACCCCCTACCCCTTGAAATTATTCTGGATACAAAGCTGTTAATATTTTCAAAATAAAAAGAAGGGGATCAGTGTTTAGTAATGTTCCTTTTCAAAAGAATTCCTTATCTTTTGATCCACAGATGGTTTGAATATTAGCTCTCATATTGCAAAAATGATTTCTATTTTTCACAAACAGGAAACTCAAAATCTGCCAGCACAGTGAAGTCCTTCAGTGACTATAAAGCATTGAAAGGGAAAAATTGGAAATCTCTTGTATCAAAAACAACTGCCAAACCAAAAGACAAAGATAAAGAAGAAGATGTTGGCATCTTCATTGGTCTTATTGAGTGGAGTGACAAAGCATTGAAGCTTAAACCGAAAAGGGGAAAGAGACTTGCCCTTCGTATTTCCAATCAGGCACCATATTTGAACATCCTGGAAAAGGCAAAAGAGAAGTGGGCCAATTACAACAAAGATTGTTATAACGATGAGCAAGAGTATATATTACTTTTCRAGGATGGGCAGTCAGCAGAGTTTTTACCTGGTACGAATGAACCTTTTAAACTTTCACGCTATCGAGAAGAAGTTGGCAAAGATTATAAACGAATGGTTTTATATCTTTGTTCCGATGAYGACTACAAGTCTGAAAAATATTCTGAGAAAGATGATCCAACAATTGAAGATGAAAGAGAACCACCACAAAAGAAATGCCATCTAGATGATGAATATCCCAAGGATGGAAATGGTATTGAAAAACATCCAAGCGATAATGAAGTGGAGCCCTTTGAAGTATTGCAGGGTTACTCTGATGTTCCAAATCTGGAAAAGAGTCATGAAGCAGGGAATATCGTCGAAAGTTACAAAAGTGAAAATAAAGCTGGTTTTGCTGATATACCGAGTGCACTTAAGTCTCTTGAAAGACAAGTGGATAAAGATGGGCAGTTTTTCCTAGTTATGAGAAGAAAAGCTCCAATAATGAGGTGTTTAAAGCTTTGGCAGCGAGAGGCAATGAAAACATCCCCAGAGAAAGCACTAAGAGTCCATTTCAGTGGTGAAGATGGGATTGACAGCGGAGCAATGGYGAAGGAATTCTTGGAATATGCTTTGAGAGAGATGAGGACAGTTATATTTCCCGATGGAGCCCCAGTAGATTCAATGTACCACATCCAAAATGGAATCTTCAGGACATGTGGACAGATAGTGGCAACRAGTATTGTCCAGGGAGGGCCAGCTTTGGAATGCTTTGAAGAGTGCATTTATGAGATGCTAGTGAATCCAGATGTTGATATTTCACGTCTAAGTAAGAAGCATTTGACAACCAAAGAAAGAAAGCTGCTTGATGAGATAGTGCAAAACATGAGTGATCACCAAGATGCAATTATTGATTATGGTTATACTGGTTTGATTGACACCAATCACACAGATGCTATTATTGGAACTGTCATAGTAAGCATTGTCAGCAAGAGGCTACTTTATCTGAAGGAGTTTTGCGAGGGTCTGAATTGTTATGGTCTTGCAGATGCCATGAGGGTGAATGCTGACATATTCAAGCCTCTTTTTGTGTCAAATGCCTCAGGCCAAAAACCAGTAGATGCCAGTWATGTCTTTTCTCTTCTTAAACCATGCTATTCAGCACCTGGCACCACCAAGAGGACATTGGAAGAAGAGGTAATTGATAGCTTTCAAGATTTTCTAATGCTGTTAGAAGATGAGGAAGTTGGAGGGTACTCTGAAGCCTTAGCATGGAACACTGATGACAGCTTATACCAAGATGAAGAGTCTATGGATGACATCAACAAGTTCCAAAGTGCTGATCTTAAGCCTGCAGGAGTCCTTGGTTGGCTAACAGGCCAATGTCACAGACCATTGAATGGTAATTCACTGGTCATCACTGTTCATTTTGACCATGAGTGCATGGAGAGAAATCCGAGCCACACAGTCTGTTTCCCTCAAGTTCGAGCCTGTGGACAAGAAATAACATTTCCGGTTGCCCATATGAGCACAACAAAAGAATTCAAAGAAGTGTTTGTTATTGCATATTGCAAGGGACAAGCATTTGCAAAACCATAACCTTGGTTGCAATCAATCAAGTTACTTCTTGTTAAAGTTATTTTATTGAAATTTCTTTTAAATTCAAGTGCCAAAGCCAAAGTTCAAAGAAGGTGATTTCTAAGACTGTTCCTTCAGTCTTAACTGTTTATCATGATTTGTTGGCATTCCATATGCTGATAATATTATTTCTTGGTATATCAGCTTTCAAAAGTGACACTCAGAGAAAAGCAGTAAGTGACAGTTCAAATAGGATGATTTATGAATGAGTTGATTATTTTGTATCATTGTTTATCATGATTTGTTGGCATTCCTATTTTTTGAGGATCATATAAAAACTCACTCTAGTCAGAGCCTGTGCTCATTCCCCGGGGGGGACTCTCTTGAAAAGTGGGTAGGGGGGCTCGACGGACCATTTAGGGTCGAAAATGAGACCTCACATACCTTTTAGGGTCTCCGGCTGACTTCCAGCTGTAAAATATCAAACGTCRTACAAGAATATAATGGTTGGAAACGTAATGTGGTCGTACCTTTTAGGGTCTGAAATCAGCATCTCAGTTAATTTATGCGTAATTTTTAGGGTCATTTTCAAAACCGTCCGTCGAGCCCCCCTACCCACTTTTCAAGAGAGTGCCCCCCCGGGGCTCATTCCCAGTTTGTCATGATAGATCCAGATGTAATACTAGTTCAAACGAATTATGTTACTGGGTGTACTTGCATTTTGCATAAGACAAGCCTTTGGAAAATAGGTAAGAGAGATGTAGCAGTGCTTAAAAGTTTTCCTTCTTTTTGAGTGAGATCAAAAAATCATGATTAAGCAATAAAGAAAATAATGAGAAATCTTAATTTACTTTAATATGATGTGATGCTAGAGAGTGGATTCTCTCAAAARTATTATTGAAGTTAACAAAGTTTCTTTTTATCCTCTTTATTGGAAGTGTTATTGTTTGTTATGTTCATATTTGAAATTCAAAATAAACCATGTGTTTTTCCACTATTCATTACATTCCCAGTTAATACCTTTTCAGTTAATTCAATGAATTCTGAAGAAAATCCAGGTGGTATTACAAGTTGCAGTTGAAGATGTAAATTTAATGCTATATTACACCATTCTGGTATTGCTTGGAAAAGAGGCTTCATGAGTAATGCTTCAGCTGTTTTTTTCTCTAAATTGTAAATATCTTGCTTTATTTTGCCCTCCTTGTATTTTCCCAAAGTTTACAGTATTTCAGGACTTCTGTACCATGGAGCCTTGTTCCAAAGCATTGCCACAAAGGTGTATTGCATTTTCACTTTACGTTTTTTGTAATGCAAGCCAAGTTAACAATTGTTGGTCTTTTTCGTTCATTCCTTTGTAGGATAATCATAGGGTGCATCCACTAAACCCATGAACAATAATTATTACTAATTAGTACTATTTCATACA